TAAAGGAAAGGAAACACAAAAGCTCCCTCTTTTGGAAGCCGGCCAAGCTTCTCACCTTCCCAGCCTATGTGTAAGTACTTTCTCCTGTTAATAAAAATACTTGTTTCCCCATTGCATTGATTTTCTCTTCAGGAGACAGAGGGACACAGTTCAGGACTGGCTGTCATTTCTGTTTTAGATTCTGAAACCTAAGAAGGATTCCTAAACTTAAATTTTTCTCTCTCTATCCTACTTCCTTCCATCCCACCTTTGTCCTTGTATCCCTTTCATTCTTTCTTCTTTTAGATAGGGTCTACCTATGTCACCAAGTTGACCTGAAATTCACAACCTCTCTGATTAGCCTCCCAAGTGCTGTGATCACATGCTCACACCCAACTTAAAAGGTTCCAGATACATGTCAAAACAAAAAAAAGCAATACTCAAAACATCACATCATTTTCCCTCTTGTTGTGCCCCATCTGGAGAGGAGAACAAGGATCTGTACTTCCAGCCCCCGATCTTGTACCAGAGTGCCCTGGCTGGCTTTATTCCTGCGACTGTCATGTCAATGGGAAGATATATTTGTTTAATCATCTAGCTGTGAGGGTGGCAATCTAAAGGAAGTCACACAAAGGTACTAGTTTTGTATCACAGAGATTAACAGGCACGATTTCTCATTTCACAAGGAAGGAATGAAGCCACCTAATTGGTTCCTGAGAGTGTGACTATAACAAGTGTTGACACAATTGGCTCAGTACTTTTTTCTTGCAAACACGTGGTCCTAGAAGTGGGAAATGATTAGCCCTATGGTCGTGAGGGATTGGAGCATTCATGGAATGTTTGAATTCCAAAGTAATGCGATAGCATTAATTTATCATTTTGAGATATATTCTCCTAGATGCTTAAGTTACAGTCTATGAAAATACTCTCGTCTTAGTTTATACGTATGCCCTTGTAGAATGCAGAGACAATTACCAGCTAAACTTCAGTTGTCACAATGTGCTTCATACACTATTTTTCACTTACTATAAATATTATCTTACATTCACGGTGCCATTTAATTATAGTTCATATGGGTGTTTAGGCTGATGGTTTAAAATCTTGATTTGCAACCCATTAGAGGATCATGAAACTAAATGAATGGGTCTCCAGGAACAGTTTTAAATAAAATAGACTAGAATAACAAAAAAAAAACCAGAGTGATACAAAATGATACAAATTGAGGAGGAAGGAGTGTGTGTGTGTGCGTGTGTGCGTGTGTGTGTGTGTGTGTGTGTGTGTGTACTGGGGTATTATGCAAATGTGTTTCTCTTTTAGATAGGGTCCAAGCTGGTCTTGAATTTGTTACAAAGCCAAGATGACCTTGAACTTCTTATTTTTCTTTTTTTCTACTTCCACTTCCCAACTGCTAGGATTACAGGCATATGCCACTGTGGCTGTTTTTTTTTTCAGTGCTCTAACTCAGAGCTTCTGGCAGTTATAGCCCCAGCTGGCAAATACCTTTGGTATTATGGACAGTAGACTATCTGTGCTTTTAAAGACAAGGTCTGGCCATATAGTCAGCACTGGCTTTTAACTTATGATCCTCCTGCCTCAGCCTCAGAGTGTTGTAATTATAAGATTATGTCACCATATGTGGATAAATCCTTTTCTTGTGTGTGTTCAATTCAAGTTCAAAAATTTCAAGTATTTATTAGCACAGATGATTTTTGTTGACCATCTGATCTGTAACCACGTATGGCAGACTGGGGAACCAAAAGACTACGTATAGAAAGATTTTTAAATAAGCTCAAAAGTTTTTAGTAAGGTAATTATGAATAAATAAAGATGTGTTTTCATTTAAACTATTTCCTTTGATGGTGATATGAGTGAGAGTTAACTTCTTTGAGAAAGACATTTCACAGAGGTAGGATGCATGCATCAACTTCATTTTATCTTAAAGGCAATAAGTTTAAGAATGGTCTACTTAAGCATCTCTGTGAACCATATAGGCTTCATTTTTCTCTCCTATTGATGTCTAAATCCACTCAGGACATTAAAAGCAGTTACTATTTGGGATCCGCTGTGAGAGAATCAACCAGTGAGAATATCAAATATGAAAAAGCAGAATTTATTTCTTGTGGAAGAGTGGTATGAGGTTAATTTAATACAGGAACTCCCTATGTTTTTCTTCAGGAGTAAAATTTGCATGCTAATGCCTATCATTAATATTCACACTGGATTTACTTATTAAAGAAATCCAGAACAGGGGGCTTCAGAGTTGATATTTAGACAACTGGTTTACAATAGTCACTAACAAAGGTAATTTAGCTAGTTATATTAGTGAAATGAATTTAACTTATAATCTTTTTATGTTTTGCTTTTCTTGATTTTCTACCTAATTTGCTCAAAACAATTTCTCTTTTGTGAATGAAAAGATGTTGGACTGAATCTAACTTTATAATTATAGCTGCTTAAAGCTGCTTCTTTTCAAAAGTTTCTCTACAAACTGTTGTCAATTTCACTGGTGGCTGAAAGTTTGCAGAAATGTGTCTCCTTTGGTCTTGTTCAATCTATAGACAGGGAGTGTAGAAATGTCCATGCTTCAGTTTAACGCTATGGATTTCTGAAAAGGATGAATAATACTATACACTTTAATTACTGTAGTGAAAAATTAAAAGATTCTCTTATCTAGAAATATAATGAAAATTACTATATCCATTTCCATTCCAAAAATTCCTAAGAAAGATTACATAGATGAATTCATAGTATGAGCTGCATCAAGAGACCAAAACTGAGGTTAATTCTGCCAATCATTTCAAAAACATGACAGACTTGATAACATCCTTCATCAACAAGCATGTGCACAATTGTGCGGCCTAAATGTTTGCAATCCATTTGTAATACTGGTAGATTTTTTTCTAAATAAAAATATTGAGGTGTGGTAATGAATATTTGTAAACCCAGAACCACAGAGCCTGAGATAGAAGGATTATGAGTTCAAGGCCAGTCTGGGAACATGGCAAAAATATACCTCAAAAATAAATATATATACAATGCTTATGGGAAAATCAGCATCCATCAGTATCTTGTCACCTTGTGTAATATTACCTTGTTTTCTTCCTTGATGTTTAGATTTGGGTAAGAACCTTGATGTTGTTGCAGACAAACATTCATGCTGTCAGGCAGTCTTCATTAGCCAGCCTCAGCCTCACACACAATGGTCCCTAATACTCAGTATAATTCATCATGTAGATCAATTTTATATTCAAAGTAAACTGGAGCAGAAAGCAGAGGTCTGTGCTGCCCTCTGACAGGCAGCCTTGTCTACCCCTATGTCTCCTACCATAGAGGAACATTTATTAAATAGTAAACCAACATTCAGAAATAATTATCCAAGTGCCTAGTTTACCTGGAGCTCATTGCTGCTGCTTTTAACTTTATGTGATTCAGCAAATATGCAATGACTGTGTAGTTATGACTTACATGGTTATGTTGATTGATAAATCCTCTGTGCTCTGCTTATTCATCCCTTCCTACTTCCCAGGATCTTGAATAAGAACTGATGTTTCAACAGTTTGCACAACTTTCCCTTTTCAGAATAACAATTGCAATATACAGTACATGTCTTTTCCAAGTTGGCTTCTTTTACTGAGTAATGTGAATTCAGGGTTTTTTCTGTCTTTTTGGCAGTTCACTCATATTTTTTAAATACTGAACAAGGTCTTATTCTCTAGATTTACCATAGCTTATCTATTCACTTGTCTACCGAAGACATCTTCTTCAATTCCAGATCTTTTCCTACATAGAACATACCACCATCTGACATATCCTTCACTTGACTTGTTAATTTGGGGCTATACCTCCTACCACCCCAGGTCTAACATAACTTCCATGGTCATGCAACACTCAACCAAAAACAGTGGACAACAAATGTATGTCCAACAAAAGGATAATAGTAAAGGTATTTTTCTAGAATGTACAGAAAGTACTCGATAGTTCTCAATTTATATGCCACACCATGGCATATAAAGTATATTTCAAGTGTTGCATGTGTGAAAGAGAAATAGCCTACTAAAGATATATCTAAAGGGATTGGCTCTGATCTTGGAATATAGTAAGGATCCTTCAGATGCTTGCTTTGTACAAAAACATGTAATCTCCATGAGAGCAGAGAGCAATCTGCCTCATTCACCTCATACTGTGCTTTGGGTGCCTGATAATGCCTTCCATATGAGATTCTCCAACCACATTTGTTACATGGATGAGCAGTACATCTCAACTTAAAGATTCCCCCTCCTTTCCTCCTTCTCTTCACCCTTAGTCCTTCTCTTCCTCCTCATCTTCCTGTACTCTCTTCTTCCCTTACTATATACTCTTGTCTAGTCTATATACTCGAATGTATAGTTGAACTCACAATGCCCCTGCTTTAGTTTCAGAAAGGCTTAAGGTACAGACACATACTCACTACCACATTTGGCTAAGATTTTCTTCATATTTTGCCAAATTATCTCTGGAGTGCTTTTATAAAACAAAGGGGTGCGTGATTATTTACTTTTAATATAAAAGTAAATACTTCCATAAAACCACAGTTCAGTAGTGGAGTGTATTTCAAGCTCAACTGTAATCAAGTTCAATATTTTCCATGGAATTTGCCGATATGTTGGTTAGAGCAAAATAAGAAGGAAAAAATTCATCAGTGTGTAAAGTGCATGGGGGGGGGAGAACCACTGTACAAAAAGAGTAACAGATAACCAAGCTCCTGCTTGGCCAGTGGTTATTCATTGAATAATATCAGAGTAAAACCAAACACAACTGTCCTCTTTTTAGAAGTGGCAGATGTGGAAAATCTCAGCAAGACATAAAATAAGATGACAGAGTTCTTTATTAGATGCATCCTTTTGCCCTGACCCAAAAGTTAAAACAAGAGGGCCTCTATCTTGTTCAGGAAGTACAGAAGGATGTGTTCTGTGAGGGAAATATATAACATCTTTTATGTATGCACATAACATACAGCAGGGAGGAAGTTCTTATAAACTTACCCATCATTGTTAACATCTGATACCACCACTGTATATCCGAAATAAGATGCCATCTGCAATACAATAATAATTTTTTTGTGTTCAGGAAGCCATGTTTATAGTCACCTCTTAATTATTCATGAGAAATGACTTTCACTCTGGTACATTTTTACATTTAAATTCATAGACCCCCGAACTTGTTCCAAGTGTTCAAGTCATTTAGTCTAACCTCTGCCCTAATGAATAATTCCCTGAACAATAACTCTGACATTTGCTTGCACGGCCTCCGGATACATTAGGCTCATTCAATTGGGGGGCACAACTGTTAGGCAAGCCTTTATTACTTGTAGTCTTTCTGCGATATCTAGTGTTTTAACTTAGTTCAGCCATCTTGAACCCCACAGAATCAACTGAATTCGACCACATGTAGAAGACATTCAGGGCACTTTCAGATGCTATACTGTTCAGCTCGGAGATTCCACAGTGCAGACTCAAAGAACATATGGTACTTGTAAGCACAATGGCAGAAAAGCTAAGCAGGAATGATGCTGTCTAGTTTGGCCTCTATATTATTAAATCCCAAAATGATTTTAATTGTATGGAAATCCACAATTCATCAAATTATAGTGAGATCATATTTAATAAGACTCTCAAATCTTTTCAGTGTGTATAAATGCTATAATATAATCTCCCACAGTTTTCCCTCAGAATTGTTTTAGTATTATAATTCATTTCAGTCTGGCTCATCGTTTCATCTTACCAATGTTGTTCTTTGTGTGTATATGTGTTTGTCTACACGCTCATGGGTATGTACAGGTGCACGTGGGTGATGTAAGATGTCAACATTTGGGTGTCTTCCTCAATTGTTCTCCACCATTTTATTTTGAGACAGAGACTCTTGCCAAATGTGGAGTTTACTAATTAGGCTAGACTGTCTTAACAGCATTTTCTTTTCTCTGGTTCCCCAGCAGTGGCGTTACATTATAAGCTTTTACCATTGTGCCTGTCCCCACCAATGGGTACTGGAGACAGAAAGTCAGGTGCTCGTGCTTGTATAGCAAGCATCTTACCAAACACTTTAGCCCCACCTTTGTTTCTTTAGTCTACAATCTGATATTTCAGCTGACTTGACCTCCCACCATCCACTAATTCATGCAAAACACAGTCCACTAGAAACTATGCTCCATGGAAGGCAGACTTCAGTCTGTTTTGAGCTTTCTCCTTCCTGCAGTGCCTGAGCAATGTATGAACCACAATACACTCCATTGTAACACAAACTCTCTCTGAAAGAAGTTCTCAAAACCTTCACTATCAACCCAGTCTTGTTTATCCCTACTATTCAACAAAGTTCTAGGAGAGGTATGAAATTCCTTGTTGAAAATTTCGTAGCAGTGGGTACCTGGGCCCTCAAACTTTACCAGCAAGATATAAGAGACCTATTTCTGTACATTTAAAACCATTGCTAAATGATTCTCTGGACATGGTTCATCTATAGAAAGGGGTTACCTTCAGTGTTTGAAAAAAAACTTGGAAAATTTTACCAGGTCACAATACCAAAAGAAACACAGGACCACAGGACTCAAACCATATTTGGTTAGGAAGGTGGAAGCATCCTATATTCAGGCCATTGAGCCATTCACAAGAGGCTCTCAGCTAAGGACGGGGTACAGAGATAAATGCCTACTTTCTTCAAGAAAGGGACCCAAAACAACAGTGTTTCAAGACCGTGTATAAAGTTGAGGCTCAGGGGAAGGTTTAGGGTATGTGTTTGAAAGAAAGTGACTCCCAAAGGGAGTGCCACTCTTAGGAGGTGTGACCTTGTTGCAATCAGTGTAGTCTGGTTTGAGGAGTGTGTCACTGTGGGGGTGGAATTTGAGATCTCTTTTGCTCAAGCTTCCCTCAATGTGATTCTCAGTCGACTTCCTGTTTGCTGCCTTTAGGATGTAGGACTCTCAGCTCCAGCTCCACATCAGCCTGCATGCTACCCTGCTCCTAGTCATGATGAAAATGGACAGAACCTCTGAAACTATAATGGAGCTACCCCAATTAAATGTCTTCTTTATAAGAGTTGCCGTGGTCATGGTGTCTCTTCACAGCAATAAAAACCCTAGATAAGACAGGATGCAGTGAGGAAGAGAAGCAGAAGTCAGGCTCCTCCACTCTGGCCAATAGATTAGGACCTTGGAGCAGCCAGTCTCCTGTCACAGGGAGGGAGGTTCTGAGAGCTCACCCTTGGGTGCATTGAACACCATTTGCAATAGAATGAGATTGTATCATCATTTGGAGGATTTTGGCTGTTGAGTCTTACAGTCTGCTGTGCTGTTGTAGAAACTCTAGCAACAAGGGAAGCTATGAATCCTAAACACTAAATATATTCTGAGATTTTTTTTCTTCCTGAAGTTCTTGACAATATACATGGAGGAGAAAGAAACCCAACTTGAATGTCTTCATGTTTCAGTCTCTTGCCAGGAACTTCTGGATGCAAGGGAAGGTATTTGATTTGCTCTCTTCAGCATCCCTTCAAAACACACACACACACACACACACACACACACACACACACTCCTGTGTACGCATACCTACTCATACACACCATTGACAGGAGGCTCTGTTCTTTATGGAGGACTTACACACACACACACACACACACACACACACACACACACACACACACACACACACCATTGACAGGAGGCTCTGCTCTTTGTGGAGGACTTCCAGGACAGACATCCAATGGCCTCTTTGCCTTTCCCATTTATTCTCAGCACTCAATGCCATATCCACTCAAGGCTGCGTTTATCACTCGTAATTAGACACCTCATTAAGACCCTGGTCTTATAGGCTTTGTTTCGTGTGTGTATATGTGTTCTGTTTTGATTTTTCTCTCTTTCTCTTTCTTTCTTTCTTTTGAGAGACAGCAAATGAGAGAGAGCACATGAAGTTGGGTGGGAAGAAAAGTAGGGGATTTTGGGAGGAGTTGAGGGATGGGAAGGAATATGACCAAAGTATATGAAAAAATAAAATAATAAATAATTCTTTCTTTTAAAAAGACCCTGAGTTATTCTTTCCATGACTTCAATTAAGTCTTTGTCTTAACAACATTATATAATGATCAAGGGGGCCGGGCAGTGGTGGTGCACGCCTTTAATCCCAGCACTCGGGAGGCAGAGGTAAGCGGATCTCTGTGAGTTCAAGGCCAGGCTGGACTGACAACCTCCAAAATAATACAGAGAAACCCTGTCTCGTAAAAACCAAAAAATTAAAAAATTAAAAAAAATAGTGCTCAAGGGGTTATTATGACAGAACATGGAGGGGAATACTTTCTCTGTTAATAAGTGATTCCCTGGTGGGCTTGCCTTTATTACACCTTGAAAGACCAGAGCTCATGCTGGGCCTGGTGGTTCATGTTTGTAGTCCTGCATATGAGAGGCAGAGAAAAAGGAACTGTGAGTTGCATAGTAAGACTATCAAAAGAAATAAAAGCTAGGGGTTAGCTTAGAGTAGAGCACAAAACTTGAGGGCTGGGACTGACTAGGTTCACCATTGTATTCAGTGTTCCTTATTTTCTGAATGAATGACAACATGATGCAAACATTAGTTGTTTTGCATTAAAACGTGATTTCTGTTATGCTGGGTATAGTGGTGCACATTTGTAATCCCAGTGTTGGCAAGATGAGGCAGGAAACTGCCATGAATTCAAGACCAACCTGGACTACACAGTGAGTTTCAAGATAGTTTGATTGAGGCTCTGTCTCAAGACAACAACTACCAAAATGTCTTTACCTGCTCACCAGTAAAATTCTGAATGAAGGTCATATCTGTGGAATTAATGATGGAGACCTGAAATTGAAACAGTGAGACAGTACATCATTTGACAGAATCAGAGAAGCAGTTTTTAAACAATTGAACCTTAAATCATTTAAAATTCTTATGAAGTGTAATAGTTAGTTAGCCATATGTAATAGTTACAAAATTGTAAGCTCTCAAGAATGATCTTAGAAAAAGGTAATTGAACATGCTGATGACTCTAAAAAGGGAAATAGTTAAATGCAAGGATATGGGCAATAGTTAGCATATTGGTCAATTAATTTGTTTGATCATGATTTTGTTCTAAACAAATGTCTATGTTTATGTGATTATGAGGTCAGATAAATGACACTTTAGGAAAATAAGTTTTTAAAATGCTAGCCACATAGAAAAATGTAGCTTTTAATTCTATTTAGCCAAACTCAAACCTACACATTGTATATTGTCTAGATTATACTTTTTTTTGATACAGGGATTCATTTGCAGCATAAGCTGACCTGGAACTTTCTGTGTAGTCTAGGTTGGCTTCAAACTCTGTATTCTTCTGACTCATCAACCTCTTGAGTAGTAGGATAATAGCACCACCATGACCATCTTAAATCTTGGTGTAGCTGCATGCATATGCTTATGTGGGTGCAGTTCAACACGTATGCATGTGGAAGCTGGAAGTCAGCATCAAGGGTCATTCCTTGGGAGATATCTACCTAGTTCTTTGAGACAGGGTCTATCTTTGGCCTGAGGCTTTACAGTTGAGCTAAGAAAACTAGCCAGCAAGAGCTAAGGGTCAGCCTACCTCTACCTCCCTAATGAAGGAATTACTATGTCTGACATTTTTACATGGACTCTGAGGATCATATTTAGATTTTCTTGCTTCCATGATAAACACTTATCCAACCAAGCTATCTCCCTCATCCTGTAAGCCATTTTGTGTGGTTTCTTTCTGTGTATCTTTTTCTAACTTCATAGTAACCAGTTATGATGGGTTTAAATATTACCCATCTCAAATATGACACTTCAGAATGTCCACTTATTTTCAAATACCTTTGTAGAGGAATGAGTTAGGGACTTAGAGAAAAGTTCACTTTTGGGGTAGCCTTTGTGAAAGGAGAAAATACAAATATAGGTTTTTTCTGCATTTTGAATAATTATTACTCTGTGCAATAAAAATGCACCCCACATTCTTGTTTCACATGCAACTAATATAGTTGCATTTACTTCGTCGTGGGATGAATAGGGAAATATCACACTTCTGTAGTAGGAACTCATTAGTAAAGACATTTAAAATGGATTAAGGTTACATGGTATAAAACATTTCAGTGCTTACCAAATATGTCTGAAACATATCTTGGTACTCACATATCCAAAGTTCTGTGCTCCTCTTGGAATTCCAGCAACCAATTCTGGGGATTAAAAAAGTCATTTAGAGGGGGACCCACATTAATTAATTGATTAGTTACTTAATTAGCTAACTAACTAGTGTGCTTACATATTCATGTGTATTGGGTTGCTCATGTATGCAGGTGCCAAAAGGCCAGAGTAGAACCTTGGGTGTTTTTTCCTCAGGAGATATCTACCTTGTACTTTTGAGACAAGGTCTCTCACTGGGACTTGGTACTTATGAAATTATTTTGGCTATCCTGGCTGGGTAGTGAGCCATAGAGACCTTGCCTGCTTCTGCCTCCCCAACTCTGGAAGTATAAGTACAAGTCATAACCCTGTGTTTTTTAATGAGTTCTCAGGATCAAATGCAGGTCCTCATGCTTGCATGGGTTGCTCTTTACTGAGTCATCTCTTCAGCTCCCAAAATATTTAAAGCTATTTAGCAGTCAAGTGGAAAGATAATGGTGCCTTGTAAATGAGTGATGTAGAGGGTAAATCTGGTGCCTTGTAAACGAATTTGAAGAGGGTTGGAAGCTGGAAATCAGGATTTGCAGTTGCTTTTCCCTGATGTTTCTTTACAGATGACAGAAAACAAACAAGCAAAAGTCACCCTTGTGTACCGGACAGCATACACCTCTGCATTTTAGAACATCCTCCTGTTTTTGCAGGTCTGTGTGTGATTTAAAGTTAAATATCACTGAGGCTCTGCTAACTTCTACTAAGGGGGCAACTTTTACACTGTCACAAAGGCATATCATTAGAGGTTCAATTATGATGGGGCACATCCATGGATCAATCAGCAGGCCAAGGATTCTGTGTTAATAATCATCCAAATTTAGAGTTCATAAAATTATTTTTTCTTCTCCTCATTCTTTTTTGTCTTTGTGTGTGTGTGTGTGTGTGTGTGTGTGTGTGTGTGTGTGTGTGTTGATATCCAGTTAGTTCTCTATCATTTTTCATTTTAGTTTTGGGGAGACAGAGTTTCTCACTGAACATGGCACTTAGACATTGGTCACTGAGCACCCAAGAGTCCCATTTCTACCCCAGTGCTGGAATTACAGGCACTGCCGATGCACCTGGCTTTTTACATTGGTGTTGGGGGTCTGAACTCAGGTCTTCATCCTTGTGCAGCAGGCACTTTGCTCATTGAACCATTTTCTAGCTCCTCATATCCTCTTTCATGGAGCTTCTCCACTTGTCTTGTTGATAATGAGCCTGTACAGCCATAGATTCTCAATGGCCTAATGAACTATTTGAGATTTCATTGACAGTGCCTTTGTTTTACAAACCCTCACCTCGCATAAAGTATGAATGAGGTTTCTAGATATTTCTAAACTCCAGTGAAAATTACAGTTAGTCACTAGAGTGCTGATAAACCTCACTTGTTTCCTTAAGTGGGAATTGAGTGTTATTGTGGAAAGGTATAGGAACCCCATGCTATATTATAGAAGAAAAATATTTAGCATGCTTTACAATCCATTTTTAAACCATTAAGCCAGTGGTTGAAAGATTAGATTTTTTAAAAACTTATTTAAAAGTTATTCAGATCTGTCCTCTCATCTACTGATTCTTTCCTATAGCTAATCATTGTACTGTGTTATCAATATATAGGATTACATGCTTTAATCGCTTCAAGCATCCTATGAGATAAAGAATACTATTATTATCACCTATATTTTAGAAATAAGGAAACAGAAGCCAAGACATTGCATCATTTGTCTCAGGTCTTAAAACTAATAGTAATGAAGAGTTGAAAGCCAAAGGTCTGGATCAAAAACCCATGCCTTTTGTTACTATAAAATACTGTATGTATTTGTTTATTTTTGAGGCAGGATCTCCCTGTGTAGCTCTGGCTATCCTGGAACTCCCTGTGTAGATGAGGTTGGCATTGAACAGGTAAAGAGCCACCTGCCTCTGCCTTCCAAATTCTGGAATTAAAGGTGTGCTCCACCATACCCAGAATAACATGCTGGTTTTTCAAGCCAGAATTTGAAATTGACTCCAGTTCTTACCATCAAGCTATTTATTGTATGAGTCCTTTGTGAGCAAAGAATTGTCTAATCTTTAAAATGGAGACAAATAACAGTAAGACATGATCTATCTTCAAGAAGCTGGATGTGAACAGAGCTTGAAAAGAAAAGCAGTGGAAAGAAATGTTCATTAAGAATTAGCTTTTACTTAAAGAAAAGCACTTCTTTTTAGAACTCTGACTATTTTGAATTTTACCAAACTGTAAAAACATTTGTAGTGAGTTTTTATTTGTGTACATGTGAATTTTAAACTATTAAAAGTTCTGTTATGGTTCATAAACATAGCAATATTTTATTTGTGCTTGAACACTTGTGCATTAGTCAAAGTCATACAAAAGGGAAAAATAATTAATATTGATCTGAAAGAAGATGGAAATGGCAAATATTTATTGGCAGTTGACTCATTCGATAAATATTACTAGCTCAGTAAAAGCTCCTATTTTGTCTTGAATATAATATGCATTTTTCACACAATATTCAAAATGATAGTTCAGGGTCTATAGAGCTAATGCCATTCAGATATAAGCAAATAAGAATCAGAGAGGCTGTGTTACCTAAAAAAACATAGTTTCAGTCAAGACAGAACTTAAAATGGATTCAAATTCTTACTCTCAGACGATTTATTTTATTAGTCTTTTACGAGAAAAATACTGTCTAGTCTTTAGAATCAAGCTAAATAGCAATAAGACATAGATTTTACACTCAAGAAGCCAGATGTGAACATAAAAATACTATATATCATGTTATTCTTCCCAAGCAAATTTACTTTTTGTTTTAATTTTTTTTATTTAGGTTAGAAACAATCTTGTTTCACATGTCAGTCCCAGCTCCCTCTCCCTCACCTCCTCCCCCACCCTCCCCATCAGGTCCCCCAGTCCCCCACCCAATCTCCACTCCGATACCCAGGGAGGGTGAGGCCCTCCATGGTGGATCTCCAGTAACTGTCATTTCATCCAGGGCATGCAAATTTACATGAAACAACCAGTGTGGTTTCCTTCATTTTGTGTTTGTTTTGTTTTAGATTGTATTGGCTTCTTTGCTTATATTTCTACTGTTTCTCTACTCTAATTTTAGAACTTTATGACCCATAAGACCCAGTGTGAGCTGGTCCAGCCCCCCCTTTCTTTAACCCAATCCTAGTATCAAAGTATAAAAGCCTGGCCTATTCCAATCTTTCATAAAACTTAGCTCGTAGAAATCGCCCCTTTGTCAAACACCTCTTACTCTGGTAGGTCCTATTTTGTGGTACCTCATCTCCAAAGTTGTTTACTCTATGCATAATATTAATCACTAATACTAATCACAAATTTTGTAAAGGTGTTCAGACCCAGTATAGTGTAATCTCTGAAATTTAGGATAATTTGTTTACTTCTGCATACTCAGCACTGAACAGATCCTGGCACATAGGTACACAAAAAGTCTGCAACCAATGAATGGGTGGCAAAGATCTTAGAAGACCAGGAAAAAGAGATGACACAGGCATTTATAGAAGGAAACTAAATAAATATCTGAGGAAATGACATTTGAAAACTGACCTTAAAAAATCAAATACTATGGAAAGACAGAGTTGGATACAGGACTGGAGGTTTGGGAACAGGATAAACAATGAGGGATGTCTATGAGAATAGGGATTTTACTATTCTGTTATTATTACTCTGTTATTTAGTAATGGTCATGTCTAAAAGAGAAAGGGAAACAACATTAGCATGTTGGGTTGGAGTCAAGAGGAGAAGAACACCTGTGATATATGGTGTTATAAATTAGAGAGAAAAGAGATCTTGATTTCTCACTCAGGTCTATTGTGGCTATTGTCCAAGTCACACAACCATCTGTATACTTTTCATTCGTAACCTTGGGTATCTGTTCTCATTTTTAATTTCTTAATTAGATTTTATAGGTATTGGAATTAATTCTTATGAAATTCTTTTGAAATAAAATGTTGTGCGAATGTGTATACATTTTCTATAAAATGTTATCACATTTTACATCCATCCATTTACATAAATTTTTGTGTAGCAAAGAAAATAAATCACATTTACAATAGGACTTTCTCCATGCTTTTAAGATAACTTAAGTGTAATGATGTCTCTCACCTTGCTGAGAGTCCCCAGTGAATTCTCCAGCAGCAACCGAATATCCTATAATAAAGAAAAGAAACAAATGAATTTCATTTGACAAGAAAATGAGTTATATTTAGGAAATGATGAAAGTGCTATCATGGTACTATTTTATTCAAAAACATCTACAAATGTCTAAAAAATTAAGGATTCACTAAGCGGAAAAAATAATCATAGCAATATGAACACTTTCAGACCAATTCCAGCTATAAAGAAGATCTGCCACACTGATCTTAAATAAATAACAACCAAATAACAATGTCAGATTCTTAGGTGAGCCTTCAGAGCATGGTCCATAACCCCTTTAAGTGGAAGTGGCAGCTGCTGCATTCTGAAAGCTGCAAACTCATCACCATCAAGCACAATTCCTATGAGACATCCTTTGTGTTCAGGTTTTGCCATTGACCATTATCATGAACTACTTCTTAATTCCTTTCATGATTGTGGCCCACAGATGTCATTGAGCTCAAAAGCAAGATTCCATTTACACTGACAAAACAAAACCATAATTTAGCTTTTCAATACATAAAGCAATCAAAACTGGCTGGACACCAAACGTGGGTAACAGTAATAGTAAAAAGATATCATGTGGTTTGCACATGACACAATTTGAGAACAGTCTTGAATCTAGAAAGATTCATTTTGGTTTTGTTGAAACTGGACATGCCTGCTATCATGTTGCCCCATAACATGATCAGAAGCCCTGCTAATACAAATGTCTTCTTCAAGTAATCCTTCAGAAGAGAATGTAAAAGAGACTAAAAAACAGCAGGTCAAACATGTACAGTATATATTATATCTGGAAAAAAACAAGTTGTGGTGAAAAAGAAAATGTAAAGAGCTACTCAAAGTAATAAGAAATAAAGCTTTTAAAAGATGTCAGTCAGGCAACATCAGATAGTCAGGAACAAGCATTCATGTCCATTTAATTTGTTTGCCTTTTGAAAAAGTACAAATATCTCAATCAATGGTTCTTACCAAGGTAGCTGTCATCGTAGGAAGCTGGAGCCACATCTGTCTGCTTTTCTCCTGCCAGTTTTCTTAGAATATCCTTGAATGAGTAGTTTGCAATGATATCTGCTATACTGACAGTGATCACCTGACCTGCGTTTGAACAAATTAATACACCAACTGATTGGATACAAGGGGAGGGGTAGACACTTACTCAACAAACCTGGAACCACACCACACTCCTGAATGTCCATCCCTACCTCTCCCAAGAACTGACAGGTAGAGATTAGTTATAACTGACTGGGTAGAACTTTCCAATCTGGTAGGAGGCCAGCGATGAAAGGCAGTGTTTCATTCACTCTTCCTGTACTTTTAATGTATAACCTCTCTCTACCTTCAAATGATAAAAGTATGAAGGAATAAAGACACTTGCAAGTGAAATTTATGTTTAACTTTGTATTCTAGAGTTGAGGATAGGGTTCATTTCATAGACTGCTACCTAGCATGCAGGAAGACGTGGGTTCAATCCTCAGCTCAACATAAAACAGAGCAGGGAGACACATGATAACCCCTGCTCACATGTTCGTGACTAAAGCATCGTGGCAATATGCACTTTGTTGTGCAAACAATGTTTCTAAAGTGTTATCTAGTCTACTACTCACTGCCCTACCAATAATTTATTGAGGTTATGCCAGGCTTTGTTTTAGATGCTGGCGACACTGTACTGAGAACACAGACAGAAGGCTTGTTGGAGCTATGCTAGCACTCACTGACTGGCCTTTAGTCAGGGTCTCTCATTGAACTACATCTAGCAGGTCACTTGAAATCCTGTTACAGTCTGCATGCATGGGGTGTACATGCACACATGAATACATATAATCCCCAATACACACACACTCACACAAAATTAGAACAGAAAGATGGACTTATGACTAATTTGTAAATGAAATTACTATTCAACTTTATTGACATATATAATTACAAACATCTACCTGAGCAATGAAGAGGAGTCAGCCATGGGAAGCAGAGGCAGGCAGATCTCAGTGATTTTGAGACCAGCCTGGTCTACAGAGCAAGTTCCAGGACAGGCTCCAAAGCAATACAGAGAAACCCTGTCTCGAAAAACAAAAACAGAACCAAAAATCCTATAGATGTTAAGATGTTGATGATAGATCTAGCAAACGAAAACAAGAAACTGTCAGGATGAGGGAGGAAGAAAGGGGAACACTGAGTTGAAAGTGAGACATAACTGCCACCTCGACATTCCTCACAAGTTTGTGTGTAAATCTCAGCGTCTTCATAACAGAGCAGTCATTTGTCCCCATTACTTAGAAATATTTACAACCTGGCTTGACAGAATTTTAGTCTTTTCTTGGACTTCAACCCAAAAGACTGGGAATTCCCAAAGAATAATGTAGCTTGAAATTAGATGTTAAGTGCCATGTTTTCAAAAGCATTTCTTCCACCTTGTCTCAAACAGCATGAGATAACATTCAGATACAGAGACTTTTCCATATGATGGTGCATTTTAGACATTTGTGTGTCCCAATATAATCATGTTTCAAGACTTCTGAAAGTCACTTTGGGAGAAATGAGCCAACATTTTTATCAGTGTTGGTGGCCATGAATTTCTTTTGTGTGTGTGTGTGTGTGTGTGTGTGTGTGTGTGTGAAATTTTAAATCTCATTGGACATAGCTGCTTCCTACTAACATAATTTTATGCCACTAGGAAGGCCAACAATTGCTGTTTCTGCTCTCCTGGGTTAGTAACGACACACATGCTTTCCCTCTGATACAAACAAACATACCTTGCCAATAAAAGCTTCCAGGTCCTCCCACTATAAGGTCTCCGTTCTGCAAAACAGAAGCATCCAGGGAACGTGTAGACAAAAAGCCAAATGTTTTAAAGGGCACTGAGTCACTGCTAACGAGTAGTGCTCCAAGTTTGTTCATTGTAAAACCACGCTTTCTTAAAGAAGACTTTAAACTGCACTTTCCTCATACCTGAGCCCTGGGGGTCATTTTCTTCTCTCTCTCTCTCTCTCTCTCTCTCTCTCTCTCTCTCTCTCTCTCTCTCTCTCTCTCTCTCTCTCTCTCAATTATTTAGTGTGTTATATTAAATATTTTTAATTTGACTCAGGTGTGTTGACCTTGCTCCCTTGAGAGTATATAAATTCAAGGGAGGGGGTGCCACTGTTGGAGCTGACCAAGGCCTGTACATGAAGTGTGCAGCTTAATGGGCATAGTCCTTTGAAAACCTTGGTGACAAACACCAAAAAACTTCATTTCAATTGTTTCCAAGGCAACAACAGTGTCTACTTTAAAAAATAGATCTATTGCCAGAAAGATGGCTCTATGGGTAAAGTGCTTATCATCAAGTCTGACAGCCTGAATTTGATTCTTGCAACTCACACGGTAGAAGGAGATAACAGAGTCCCAAGATTTGTCTTCTGAACTCCCGCACACTTTAAATCTGCAAACCCACCCCTTTCAAAAGAGAAACCAGATTATCAAATGTGAGCAGCCCTGCTCTCTAGCTTCAGTCTGTAACTTGTGGTGGAAGCATCAAAGCAAGCAATCATAGAAAAATGCAATGTGCCCATAGGAAAACAGAGCATATGTTTATGGGATTTTCCTGTGCTATTTTCAAAGCATAGAATCTTCTTCCTTTCATATGTTTATCAAATGTTCTCTGCTTTCTGAATAGATTTATAAATTTTAATATGAATATTAAATCAAAGCAGCCAATTACAGCTAAGTGATAAAGTGACTGATTTATAGATTCTTGTGATCATTTTAGAAATGAGTTTTTGAGATTTGCATTCAAAATGATGAATGCTGGGAGTGGGAAGGATGAGTCCCTTCCTCATGGATGCTTTTCCATACTATTATCATGGACACAGATTTAAATAGAAATAAAGATGAATGGGGGGAAACAAAAAGTACTCAAGGAGTAGTTGCCAGACATGGTACACTCCCAAAGCTTCTCTGGCTATTATTATTTGATGGGTGGAGATGGGGATGAAAAACAGGAAAAAGAAAAGCAGTAGCAACAGTGACAAGAAAATTCATCCCATGCCATATGCTGAGAGACCAAATGATTTACCTTATAGAAGTCCAGGCTAAAGCCTGCTTGGCAGTATCCTTGGCCTTCAGGATCAGCATTACCTGGAATGATCAAACACATAACCACTATAATGTCACCATTTCTGAGAACTATTTTAATAAGCAATACAGGTTATTTTGTTGTTTTCCTCATATACCACTGAGTCAAAGAGATCAAATTGTGTTTTATTTTTAAAATACATCTCAGGCAATATTAAGTGTATTTCCATGTATTTTGTGATCCTGAATATGACCTTTATGTAGCATGGCGAACAACTTGAGGGGTTATGCTATGGAGCACAGGACACACAAGCCATGCTCTAGTTGGGGAACATATCAAAGTATTGGTTTAGGTTGGGGTGTACACTCATGTTCACTTCCAAAATAAAACCTCCATCTTCTGATTATGTCCCAAAATGTCCATGTGGCAGTAATGTCTCTTTTTGCCCACTCCTGATGTGTCTGCCATTTCTACAGTGACAACTTGGGACCACCACCTGAGTTCATGCTTCCTTCAGACAAGCTAATGACGATTTCCTTTTCATTCTTCATGTACAGACTGGCCTTGAACTCTCTACGTAGCTGAAGATGAGCTTGGACTTCTGAACCTCCTGCCTCTACGTCCTATGTGCTAGAATTACAGGTGTCAACTACTCCAGTCAGTCTATCAGTGCTTGAACCAAACCCTGGGGTTCATGACCGCTACGCAAGTACTCTACTAACTGAGCTACATCTCAAAGTCTTATTTCCATTTTATGGTATTTAATAGAAACATAAGTTTAAATTACTATATTTTGATAAGTTAGGCTGATTTGAAATTGTATTTCTGATTCTAGTAATCTCACAGGGGCATTGCAATACTAATGTTCTCAGAAGAGAAACCCTTCAACAGTGGTTGTTTGTATTCTCTTTGCTAACTAAAGACCCAGTGGGATCATTTTTAAAAGCTATAGGCTTTATAATGAGTATATAGACTCCAAGGATATTGTTATTGAACTCTGTAGGACATTGAGATCACAAATTTACTCCCTATAAGCTGAACTTTGAAAGAGATCCTACACCTTCTATCACACTTGAATTATAGTCAAACTATAGTTAAGTAGAGGGTAACCTCTTAGTTATTATGTAGCTAGATAAGAGCATGAAAATGATTACACATTTCTTACTGAGGATATCATTCAAGCAATACTACAGTAAGAGTGAACATCTCTGTAGGAAATTCTGATAGGCTGGGCATGTCCCTGATCCTGAATATCTCTAAAATACACCTGGTCCTTCTGGTTTTCTAGACCAGTATCCATTTTCTTTTTCCAACCAGATCATAGTTCTATTTTCTCATACCAGTTCTGTGCAGACACACCTTTTGTCTTGTTTGTTTGTTCATTGAGACAGTGTCTCATGCAGCCCAGGTCACCCTGGAGCCCACCATGAAGCAGAGAATGATCTTGAACTCCCAATCTCCCTGTCTCTACCTCGTAGTCTTGGAATTACAGGCATGTATCACTACGCCTAATATTACTCCCTTGTGTTTAAAATACTTTACTACCTGATACAATGTCTTTCACCAAATTCATTCTCTCCTTTACAACTGTATGTTAAGATTGATGGTTATGAATTTTATAAGGTTCCCTAAAATCCAATCTATATAACCTAAATTTACGAGGTTCTATTTTTTCTATAAGTCCAATGGAATAACATTTCTACCCATTCAGAAATATACATGAATATATGATGTAGTCTATGTGAACCAATGTAGATGGCATTGATTGTATTTAAGGAATGATTTATAAACACACAAGCCTTCTTTAAAATCTACTTTTGAAGTTGGTTCTTTATTTTTAATATTGTAAATTATTAAGAAGGGAAGAAACCTGACAATTCTTTACTTTAAAACAGGACACTGAATTTTTAAAAAATCTCCAACTGAAAACAAGTCATTGAGAAAATAACCAACTTCCAGTGTTTGTTTTGAGTGGCAATTAGAGAAGAGTTCTTTGCTCAGCAAGTCTGTTTCCCTTTTCTCATTGAATTATAATTTATGAGACCCAAAGGAGTCTTTCTTCCTGGAACCTCAGGGTGTCTCTAAACATTACATCCCAGTATAAACTCAGGAACCCAGGGACATGTGCTGTTCGTGTTCATTCTCTGCCAATGGTGAACTGCTATGGTGAAATTGAAGGACTATGAGACCCTCCCTCACCTGAATTATGAATCGTCATGAGGGAAGAAAGCATGCTATTCAGATAAATGAGCCGGCTACACCCACACTGCTTATGGTGCCCCGGATCTGTGCTGTAGGAGTAATGTAAGACGCCTGTTTCAGTTCTCTTTTGAAAAAGATATTGCTGATATTCCCTCTCTGTGACAATGACCATATGCTCATGAACAAGCAGGCTCTGTGTTAGTGGACTGTGAGCTTCTCAGTCATGACAGGAAGCCAGCTCTTGGGGTGATTTGAAGAGGAGGAAGTGTGAGTATATGAAAAGTGTTGGCGTTCCCTAGAGCCATATAATGCCTAATGAGCTATTCCGCAGTTCTACCTAAGCTCCTTTTCATATTGGCTTGCATATTTCTACCTGGGGAAAAGGAGAATAAAGAAACAGGCATGCTGATGTGCCCAGAGAGCTCACAATTCTTGGATACTATAATGGATAGTTATAAAAAATAGTCCAAGCTCATGCTGTAACAGGGACCACACAAGTTGAGATTCTGTGGGCTATGACTTAGCTAGCACAGGTTCTCAAGTCACAAGGACATGAAGCATAAGGGCAGAATGAGACATAGTGACAAGTTTCACAAGTTAACTTCATGATACCCAGAAGATTTTGTCATGAGGGCCAATGGTGAAGGATGCCATGGTTTGCGGCTGTAAGGAAATGTCTCCAGCAAACCCTGAGGACTAGGATATACACAGATGTAAGCATTGATGAGAAGTCTAGCATTGAATCTCTTTAGCAATAATACAGGTCTCTTATCTGTTGTTGATTATGGCCACTTCCCAGCTGCTACTAATGTTGATAATTCTTCCTTTCTCCACTCCCAGTGTCCTCTGCTGGAAAATCTTCCCTATCCTTTCTGAAGAATCTCCCTTCTTCCTGTTCCTCCAGACTCAGGTCCTTCACCTTTCCATTGATTATAGATTTCCTACTTGGTATTGTACTATGAGTTTGTTTATTTTGGTTTCTGCCCTCTTTCTTTCTTGAATGCCCATTCTTTGAACACTACTGGTTTGTTTTCTCTATTTCTTGAACACACTGACTCCCTACATAAAGTATATTTGGTGCCAATGTGTTCAGTAAACAAGTGTTAAATTAATAATTGAGTCTCATTCTCAACCAAGAACATTCACTTTAAAGTTGTCTAAGACAAGGTCTTTAATTTCAGACCAGTAACCCAGCTCACACCCAGGAAACCATACTCTGTTTCCTGCCAAAACCCTCACAAGAAGCTCTTGGGTTTAAAAAATTCATGTTTAGTTTGGAGCTATAAACTTCAATGACTTCTTTATTAATTCTTTGAAGTCCTTGATTCATTCTTTATCATCATCATTTTTTCTGATATTTGCTTACTGTCTTTCCCAAATTGATCTTGAATCAAAAAAAATACTAAGTATGCAAAAGAGGGAAATTTTATTTGTAGTTTTTTAGGACAATCTCTAATAACTTCAGACTGAGTCTTCGAAAAAGTCTACAGTGTTACTCTAATGTTCTTTGTAGTGACATTTTCCTCTCTACAGTTCATTCCCACTATAATAACAGGAAGTTCCTATTTGTTGATTACCCACATCTCACAATGATCTATCAAAAACTTAGAAAAATAGAGAAGTTTATAAAAGAACTCCAAGCAGATAATTGGTAAACACACTATCAGTCATCACTTCCCAGAGTAATTCAACATCAGCACCCCTAATGCAACACTCAGATGTTTGCTTTAAAGGATGCATCACACTGGTGTGGTGCTGTGTGTTTGTTTGCAGCACTTGGAAGGCTGAGATAGGAGAATAAGTAATTTGAGGTCAGCCTGGTCTACATAGCTAGTTCCAAGCCAACATAAGAGACATAGAAAGGATGCTGTCCTGGGAGAACCCTAGGACAGCTAAATGAGATTTGAACTCTAAGTAGAAAGAGTCCTTTGAGACTGAAGGGGATTCAACATTTTAAGCAGAAAGTGTAATATGCATATAACACGTACACAGCTGCCAAAACAAAGCAACAACTGTTAAGAACAAAGGCTATGCAATGTTGCAGACAGAAATTACTCCAGTCCAATCATCCTAACTGATATTATCGTTTTCATAAACAAGTAGGGTGAACAGTCAGCATCTTTTGGAAAACAGAATGGGGACTTTCAACAAAAACTGTCAGCTAGTGGACACAGTTATTCTACCAAAGACTATCTAAAGTTGACTTTTAAGTACAGAAGAGTCAGCAATACAGATCACATGTGGGTACAAATTGCCAAGACTGGGGACCTGAGTTCCATCCCTAAAACTCACATAGTGGAGAGAACCAACCCTTTATTGTCCAATTTCTATATGTGTGTTGGGCATTTATGTGTACACACAAAATAAATAAATAAATTTAATAAAAATAAAAATAAATAAATTGTGGTTGTTTGAATGAGCATGGCTCCCATAGGCTCATATATTTGAATGTTTGATACCCAGTTGGTGGAACTGTTTGGGAAGGATTAGGAGGTGTGGCCTTATTGGAGGAGTTATACCACTGGAAGCAGGCTTTGATGTTTCAAAACAAAGCATTCCCAGTTAGACCTCTCATTTTCTCTGCCTCCTACTTGAGGATCGGTTGTAATCTCTTAACTACTACTCCAGCACCATGCCTTTCTGCCTTATGCCGTGCTTACTACCCTGATGATCATGGACTCATCCTCTGACACTGTAAGTCCCAACAAACTCTTTTCTTCTATAAGTTTGCCATGGTGTCTTATCACAGCATAGAAAGCTAATTAAGACATAAATAAATGTGTAATAGAACAGTAGAATTCTGAGTCTTGGATATCATCTATCACAACTCTCAAGCTTGGGGTTTTTTTAAGCTAAATTTTACTTTCAAGGATAAAAAACAACTTACTGTTGCGGCAAGGAGAGTGCTCAGCATAAGCGCTGAAATTCTGAATTGCTACGTAACATGTGCCAACAGGGTCCTTTGCTGGGTTAGGTTTAAGAGTTCTCCAGTGATACAAAGGAGCACAGGCCTGTGGATACCAAAGGCAAAAAATACAGCTTTGATATAGGTTTCTTAGACAATAGTTTTATTTGAATTGCTAACTATTGTAACGAAAGTTATAGGTAATTATGTTAAATTGTTAAGTGAACTAATTGACCTCCAGCTAATTTTTGATATTGATTCATTGAAAAAATTGTAAAATCTATATATAGAGGGATTGTCCTACCCCATGGTAGAATTTTTAATTAAATAAAAAGTAAACCGATGAAAGAAAATTATTTCCTAAAAGCCAAAAACTCACATTTTCTATTCATTCTTTAAAAAAATGGACCTCTGCACCTCTGTAACAGCAAATGACATTCAAACAGTGAATGAATTAACACTACATCCTGAAATAACTCACCACTTCCTTTGTCTGGTTGTTAATTTTTAAAAACGGTTTTCAAATCAACAGATTCATGCAGGCTTATTGTTCTCTGTTTTGTGATCTGTCTAGTTTATCACTGAAGTTGCATCTTATGATTTTTAAACAATGATTGCTACATAGGCATATCTCATATGTAACAGTTTTTATTCATGGAAAAACTGAGGTCAAAGAGCATTGCAGGTCAGCAAGCGCTCAAATAGCACACGTGATGACACGTGCACATTTCTTAGTTATTGTGACCACTGAGAAGTAATCCAAAACTGGGGTTCCATTTTCTTTGGAGAAATGTAATCTGATAATCTCCAGTGGCCACAGATAACCTTCACGAGGGAGATGAGCTATTCTAGTCATTCCATAAATATATATTCAATTCTAAAATGGCAAAAATCCTTCAGGTTGTAAATAAAACATTCCATGACTATTGCCAGGTAAAATATAGAGCAGAAACTTTGAGAAGAATGCATACTATGCAAACATTTACTCACACTTTAAAGCCTTGCTTAGAATTTATTTAACTGCTAGCCACACTAAACATGGAGGTTTGCATGTAAAATCTTAATAAATAAATGTGTGCTGAATGAAATTAAATCCATGCCCTCTAGATAGAAGTTGAAACACAGTTGTATAACAGGTTATTATGAATTAGTTCTTACATCTTTGATTTTATGGTATGTAATTTGTCATATCAGATACCTATTTGATGACTTACATGTTCTAATTTTAGGACTGTGGTGTAATCAAAAACACACGTGTTAAATTATGCCTTGTGATGCCATTTCAAGGAATATATTAGGGTAAAATGACTTGCTTAATATCAGGAGTTTTACCAGCAAAAGTTAATTTAAACAATAATAAGAAAAGTGTGTTTCATTCATGGCATGATCCTGTTTCATCTTCTTGTAATTAGTCTGTTTTATAAACTTTAGTATGAAACATCTTGCAAATAAAATAAACATTATACATCAAAATTAACCAGACCCAAAGTCTATATATCTCAGTGAACAGCTAGAGTAGTCATTTCAGAACTATGCTGTTTCACATTGGGTTTTACACTTTTGACTATTAAATGTATTTTTAGGCACTTATCTACCACCAAAAATGAAAAATATGTGGCAGAATTAGAACTAGAAAAACAAATAGATTTATATCTTCTTTCATGACCTGTGTCCAACAATAGCATTGAGTCCTTTCACACAAAAATCCCAAACCCTCCAGATATATTAAAAAGGCATTAATTTCTCAGTAATTTAGACACACATGCCTCTTTACAACAATAAGAGAATAAAATCAAAGTCATAGCATTTGTGAACTGAGAGATCCCAACCTAAAAGTGGGGTTGTTTACTCTAATAAAAGTCATTAATGAATTAAGAAACATTGGTTAGCTGGCAGGTTTTTTTTCTTTTTAAGAGACAGGGTTTCTCTGTATTGTTTTGGAGGCTGTCGGTCCAGCCAGGCCTCGAACTCACAGAGATCCACCTGCCTCTGCCTCCCGAGTGCTGGGATTAAAGGCGTGCACCACCACCATCTGGCGCTGGCATTTTTTTTAAAGATTTATTTATTTATTTACTTATGTATATGAGTGTTCTATCTGTATGTAATGCTAGAAGAGGGCATCAGATCATGATGTTGTGAACCGCCATGTGGTTGCTGGGAACTGAACTCAGGACCTTTGGAAGAGCAGCCAGTGTTCTTACCTCTGAGCCATCTCTCCAGCCCAGCTGGTAGTTTTTAAAGGTCTTAATATTAAGAAAAACTTTCCTTCTGTTCTAAAAAAGATCCCACAATAGATGAACATTAAAACAACCCTAGAGTCATTTCCCTAGACCTATTTTTCTCTGGTTTTAAGTAGCCTTTTAAATTGATCTTGAACCATAAGATGTTTACCCCCTCAGGGTGTAGTTTTAAATTTTCCATCTTTCCTAGTACTTTTAAAAATGTTTGCAAATATCTGTAATTTTAGAAAAAGGGCTTCATTTCCTATATCTTTGAACACATTTTTAAAAACTGGATTATTTAATGTTAATCATTAACTGTCTGATTTTATACACCACTATTCTTTAAACAGCCAGTAGGTCTACAGGTATATCCCTCTAGAAAAGTGTTTGCATAAGTCACACATTAAATCATTTGATGCAAACAGTTCCCCAAACCATTCATACTCACCACGACTTTTCCTTTGTGAGCTCTCACTGTTGCTCCAAACCATTGGTTTGATTTAAATTCTATAGGTTCTTTGGTTCCATTAACTCTGATTTTCCTGTTATCTGACAAGAATGATGAATGATAAATAGTTTATCAAATATGGCATCCAATGAAAATTGCAGCAATAAATTTATATACTAAGACACCAGAAGGATGAGTGCCAATCTTTCCCAAAGTTGTCTGAAAAATTAGAAAAGGGGAAAATATTTCCAAGGGGCAGATTTATTCTGATATCAAGTCAAACAAAACCCTACAAGAAAAGAAACCCATGCAATCATTTTAAATGTAGACACATGATTGCCAATGTTCAGCATTCTATTATGTTCAAAACTCTCAATATTAGAGAAGGCAGGAAGAACATAACAGAAGCCATATATCACAAGTGCATACCATACTCTATGGTGTAAAGTGAAACTTTGCATCTAAGACCAGAAAGAAGAAAGGATACCCACTCCTTTAGTTTGTGTGTGTGTGTGTGTGTGTGTGTGTGTGTGTGTGTTTGTCTGTGTGTGCCCATAGAGGCTGGAGGAGGGCATCAGAGTCCCTAAAACTGGAGTTATAGGTAGTTGTGAACTTCCCCATGTGAGTGCTGTAAATTGAACCTGGGTCCTCTGCAAAAGGAGAAAATGTTCTTAACTGCTGAGCCATCTGCAAAGACACCGCCCTGTCCACATATATTCAAACAAAATATTAGAAATGTATAGGGCTATAAGACAAGAAAAGAAAGAGCATCTATATAAGAAAGGAAGAAAAATAATTCTTTGTGCAGATAATATGGTCTTATATGTGGAAAACACTAAATGCTCCAGAAGAAAAATAGAAATAAGGTTTTGAGCCAGACAGTGGTGGCACACAACTTTAATACCAGCATTCAGGAGGCAGAAGCAGAAAGATCTCTGTAAGTTCAAGGGCAGCCTGGTCTACAAAGAAAGTTTCCGTACAGCCAGGACTGTTACACAGAGAAATTCTGTCTTGAAAATATATATATGATACTCAACATCATTACAGACTTGATGAAATCCCTATAAAAACTCCAATGAGCTTCTTCACAGAAACAAAATTTCATAATGAATAACAAAGATTCTTGCATAGCCAAAGTAATCATAAAAGACAAACAAACCTAGAGGCATTGTTGCACTTGACTTTAAAATATGATGCACTGAATAATCATAGAAATCAAATATATATATATATATATATATAAACCTGAAAGATACAAAATTAGCAAAGAAAAATCAGAGGCCTGGAGATATGGCAAGGTGCTTGTTCTGAATATGTAAAGCCCTGGGTTATATTATAGAAACACACACACACACACAAAGAAAGAAATCAGAACTGACTATGGTAGCACAAACTTAATCCAGTTCTGGGGGAACCTGAAGCAGGAGAATTTTAGGCAATCTACACTACATAGAACTTGGGCTGTATAGGGAGACTCTTGACATCTTCAAAAATATAAGTACCATCATTATAACCAAGGAAGAATTATCTGTGAATGAATTAAAGAAAACACAATAACATCAAAATTTCTGTAATAACTTTGTAGCAAAAGTAAAATATTAGTATATCAAAACCATACAATAATGACAAACGAAACTGATGAAGATAAAAATCAGTGCAAAAGATAGCCCATGTTGGAAAATTTTCTAATGTTAAAATGAACATGATACTCAACATTATTACAGACATGATTCAATCCCTATAAAAACTCCAATGAGGTTCTTCACAGAAAGAAAATTTCATAATGAGTAACAAAGATTCCTGCATAGCCAACGTAATAATAAAAAACAAACAAACCTAGAGTCATTGTTGTACTTGACTTTAAAATATGATGCACTGAATAATCATAGAAATCAAATATCATCACACTGGTATTTAAAACAGGCACAAGGAGCAATAGAGCAGGATAGAGAGTGAAGAGATTAAACCCACACATTTTCAGTTTATCTAGCTGAACTTCCACAAAGGTATTAAGAACATACAACAGAATAGATAGCTACTAAATGGTTGAAACAACTAGATACATGCAGAAGAAAGAAATTAGACCCCTATCTCATACAAACCCACATACAAAACCTATTCAAAATGTATTACAACTGTAAGCTACAAGGAAGAATATATAAGGAAAAGTTTGTGGCATTGGTCTCAGCAAAGACTTTCTTTGGACATGACCCCAACAGCAAAAGCAACAAAGCAAAAATAGACAATAAAATTGTATCAAAGTACAGTGAAGAGACAATCTATGCTGTTGAAGAAAATATTTGCAAACCATATATCTGATAAGGGAATATCTTAACTGTGTAAGACATTCATACAACTCAATAGCAAGACAGCAATAAGGCCAAATAGAAACTGACCAAAGACCTGAATAAGGATTTCTCAAAAGAAGATATAAAAATGACAGACATGTATATGAAAAAGTGCTGAGTATTCTATTTATCATCGAAATGAAAATTCATACCACAGTGAAATATCAATTTACCTAAGGGGTAAAGGTATTACTAAAAAGACTAAAGCAAATTCTGATTAGAATGTGAGAAAAGAAACCTTTATACCAGGTGGGTGTGGATATATACTGGTCCACCAACCATGGAAAAATAATATGCATGTTCTCTTAAAATTGAAAATGGAACTACCACATGGTCCAGAAGCCCCCTCCTCCAATGTCTACACCCCCAAAAGGAGTGTTGACAAACTAGCCTTACTCCATGTTCATGATGGCATAAATCACAATAGTCAAGATATGGAGTCCTCTTTAGTGTGCACCCAATAGATGGATGAATAAGAAATGTGGTGTAAAAATACAGTAGATTATTTGACCTTAAAAAGAAGAAAATCCTATTATTTGCAAGCATATTATGTTATTCAGGCACACACACACACACACACACACACACACACAGTGACTGAGCACAACTGTGGGTAGAATATAAAGAAATCAAACTTACAGAAGTACATGGTGTTTGATAGAGGGTACTGAGGGGGCATGGTCAAAAGGTGACAAGTTGTTGCTAGGATGCATATATTCTGAAGATTTATCATACAGTATGTTGCCAATAGATTTTTAATGGTTTATTATATCCTTGTGATTCTAAAACAATGGATTTTGACTGTTATTATCAATAGAAAATGTTAATAATGTTAGGCCATTGTTGTTTGAATGAGAAATGTCCCTCCTAGGCTTATGTATTTGAACACTTTGTGGCAATGTTTGGGGAAGTTATAATACATGAAGGAGCACATTTCTTCTTGGTGGAGAAGAAAGGTCACTGGAGGACAGCTTTGAGAATTAATAACTATAGCCTACTTCCAATCCTGCTCCACCCTTGTCCCCTATGGGTAGATGAAAAACATTCAATTAATTTACTGCTTCTGCTCTCTTACAGACCCCATCAGGATAGGCTCTGTTATTCTGGAAGCATGAGCCAAAACAAATGGTCTTCCAAAAGTTGTTTCTGCTTACAGTGTTTTATCACAGTGACATACAAGTAACTGATACATTGGTAGACACATTAAGTAGTTTGATTTAGATTTTCTATAATATATATATCAAAGTGTTACATTATATATTATGTATATATCTGTACTTCTATTTAAATATATTTGAAAACTAATTTTAATACACTGTGGGAATATCTCTTTCAGTATAAGCTACAAGATGGTTTTAAGGCTGGGAATATGGGTCAGTTGTAGAGTGCTTGCTTAGCATGCATCAGATCAAGGATTCATACCCAGCTCTGAAAAAAATAGCTTTTTTGAGGGTGGCTTTCACTATGCACATACAACATTAAGATATGTATAATATACATCACAACTTACAGGAAGTTTTCTCTTACATTTCATATTGCAGAGATAACTCTACCTTCCACATAATGTGGGCTCTGAGCATCTTGGATGTACATGTCAGTTACTCCTAATAGGACACCAGATCATTGTCACTGCTTTGAAGAAGGCTAAATCTTTTTTAATAGTAAAGCATGTAAGATCCTTCCTGTGGGGCTAGAGGGATTGCTCAGTCATTAAGAATACTTGCTACTCCTCCAGAGGACAAGAAGCCAATTCCCAGCATCCCTTTGGGCCACTCACAACCAACTACCTATAACTTCAGTTTCAGGGGATCCAGTATTGTCTTCTGGACCCCTTGGACACCCATGCACACAGGTGGTACACACTCATGCAGAAACACACATATATCATATACTAAAATTAAGTCTTAAAAACAAACACCCTTCTCTATGGTCAGATGAGCACCAAGTGTCTCAGCATGCATCAGAAACTATCATGAAGGAATGTTCAGGCCTTGACTTTTAACTGAGTAGCACGTGTCCATAATAGCACAGTTTTCCATTTCCTTTTTAGAGTTCAGCCTGCAGAGGCTAGACAAGGAGAAATTCAGTCCAAGTGTAACACACTTCAGGTCCTAATCAAAAGCAGCAATCATTCCTTTAACCCTTGGTTCATAGTCAACTGACTTGCCATGTGACTTCATCTGCCCCATTCCAAGGTGCTCTATAGTAATAGCTAAGGAATTCCTAAGTACATTTGTTCTAAACCATCTTACCTGCATGTGTTTTCTCTCATGCAAATTTTTATTTTTCTTCCTTGCTTCTCAAATAAATACATTACAAAATGAAGTTTTAAGTCCTATTAGGTAAGGCCAAAATAAACACCTAATTAAGACTTCAGTTGAGTTTACTTATGACTACAGACATTTTTTAAAGAATAATGTATTCAATCTGAATCTAAAATTTACATTGTGACATGTTAGTAGAAAATCATGAATTTCTTTTTCAAAAATCTTAACTTTGATGTTTCTGAAGTATTTTTAAGAGACAAGTTCTGGAAATTTTCACCCAAATGCACTCAGTCGGCAAAGAATTACAGCATGTTGCAGCTTATGGCCTGAAATGGAATTCCCAAACACTGCCATTCATGTCTAGGTAGCATAGGTGACCAAAAACTCAAAGTCAAGGAATCTTGCCTCCACTAAGTGGGTGATCTTGGCTGACTTGTTCAACCTTTTGGAGTTCTTGACCCTTCTGTTTGCAGCTGATCTGTCACT